AAAGATTAACCACTACTCCTATCATGATAGCACCAAATTGGAATTTTCCTTTTGAGCTAATTGTGACATCCCCATTTTCACAGCCAGAAAAGACCGATTTTGTTTATGCTTTATAAAAATCATAGTATCTCTTTTAATAAAAACGGAACGGATTTTGTTCCCAGTAAAACATGATAAATACGTTATCAAATCATTTCCCAAGAAAAATATTTTTATTCATTTTAAAACATTTGGGATGTCATCGTCAATACAGAAACATAAGCATAAACATAACTTACATTCATTATCACTAGTGATTTATATCTCCTTAATCTCTAAGTGTAATGTGACATCATATCAACACCTATGATATGAATAAACCGAATGGGTCAGGTTGGGAAACTTGGTGAGTACATAGGGTTTTCAACCTACAATAATATAATTATTATGTTTAAACAATCAAATAATCAACCCAATTACCCATCCCTATTATCTTCCTTACTCTTAAGAGTCTACCCTAAGAGTCATCTATCCTGTATTCGTTCGTTATGAAGTCCTTTGCTTCCAGGGTTATAGGATTGGCACTAAGTCCATAGCTGCCAATGCTCATTCATAAAGCACTAATTCCATAGCTGCTAAAGTTCATTCATCGGGTACTAATTCCATAGCTACCAACGTTTATCTATCAGGTACTAAGTTCATAGCTACCAGCATTTATTCAATATGCACTAAGTCCATAGCTGCCAATGATCACTCATATCATCTTTTATCTCTCATTATTCATCTACCCATGTTATACCCAACATATTTGTAGATATAAAATACATATACAGTTTAAATCATTTAAAACTTGTATAAAATCGTTCATCCAGCATAGATAGCAGGTATACAGATAATATGCACACATAGCACGTAGTTTATATAAAATACTTCATATCTATGTGTAAGATGAAAGTAACTATGCACTCACTTGATAAGGTGGTGACTCGGTACTCGGACAACACTTCGTTACTCTTAAAGCAATTTCCTTCGACAAAACCTAGTATCATTACCACTAGGGTTTAGTTTAATATTCACCGAGACTAATTAATAGTCTAGCTATTCTTACTATTATATAAGTGTTAAAAATACTTATATAACCCATAATAATAGCCCAATTACTTATTATAAGGTCCTAATAACATTACTATATTAAAACAAAAGTTATACTAAAGATAGGTTAGGCGTAGCTCACTTACAGCGGGTTTTCTCGAAAACCTGGCTTCGCTGGAGCAGCATTCCCAAGCTGAAAGGCTCTTTTCTCTAGAATCCGGGAGCCTTAGGGCTTCCTTCGGGTGCTAGGGAGGTTCCCTAGGCATTTTGGGGGGTTAGAGAGAGAGTTTAGAGAGAGAAACTAAAGTTGGGAAGGTGTGAAGAATGAGGGAGCCCAACACCTCTATTTATAGGCTGGAAAACAATTCTACTCGTCGAGTCCATGCCAGGTGTCACCCTCTGGTGGCTTACCTTGGGGAGAAAGCCTTGGCCCTTATTCAGCCACGTCACTCCTTTTGCAGCAGCATCCTACCGACTTCTAAACCCTGTTAATTTCGCATATGAGCTCCGTTTTCGATGTTATTTTTTTCCACGCGTAGGTAAAAACAAGATCTAAAACTTTCATTTAGACTTCGTCGGCTAATTCTTGACCGATCTTAAATTTAACAGTAGGAGGAGTTTAGACTGTTAAATAACCGCGAAGAATTCGTAATTCCTTCATGCGGACTCCGTTTTCGTCTGTATTTTTACCATTAAGTTCCTATTAATGAGATCTTCAACTCTAATTTAGGTCGCGTAAGCCAGAAACCGCTCGAACTAAAATTTGAGTTTCAGGTCGTACATTGCTAAGCCGAATCTTAGATAAATCATAACTTCCTTATACAAAGTCAGATTTGGGCGTTCTTTTTATGGATGTTCTCAGTTTAACATATACTACAGCTTTGGTTTAGATCACTAAGGCTAAAAAATTTTCTATCGTAAATTCACTTTTTACATCTCCCGGTGTCGTGTCGGTTTTGCTGTAAAACTTCGACGAGCCATAACTTCTTCGTTATAACTCGAATTTCGGCGTTCTTTATATGTACGGAACCCTTGAGACATATTCTACAACTTGTTTAAGATTATTTATTCTAGATAATCTTTTGTCGAAAAGTCGTTTTCGACCCCTATTATCTCTAAAGTGACTAGCCCGGATCTACGGGCGTTACACTAATATGTGATGCAAGTGATTATGCTGTAGGAGCTGTTTTGGGACAAAGAGTTGACAAGCATTTTCAACCGATCTACTATGCAAGCAAGACATTGAAACCAACTCAAGAGAACTACACTACTACCGAGAAGGAGCTACTAGTTGTGGTATACGCTTTTGATAAGTTTCTCCCTTATTTGGTGTTATCCAAGACTATAGTTTTTACCGGCCATTCAACCTTGAAGTATCTTTTTGTTAAATAAGATGCTAAGTCCCAATTGATACATTGGGTCTTACTTTTGCAAGAGTTTGACATTGAAATACGCAATAAAAAGGGAATGGAAAACGTAGCAGCCGACCATTTGTCAAGATTAGAGAACCCGTATTTGGAGAAGTTGGAAGAAAACAAGATTGGAGACGATTTTCCCAATGAATACCTTTTAGTAGTATCCGGAGAAATGCCATGGTTTGCAGACATCGCTAACTATTTAGCAACCAATTACATTCCAAAAGACTTGACCTGCCAACAAAAGAAGAAATTCTTTTAAAAAATTAAGTACTACTTTTGGGATGATTCGTATCTCTTTCGAAGCTGCACAGGCGGAATGATAAGAAGATGTGTATTCAGGAAGGAAAGTCGAGAAATCTTGGCACATTGTCATAGCGTGCCCGCCGGTGGACATCATGGAGCACACTATACAGCTAGGAAGAGTTTTGATATTGGGTTTTATTGACCCACAATTTTTAAAGATGCTAGTCAATTCGTCAAAGAATGTGATTCGTGCCAACGAGCGGGGAATATATCATCTCGAAATGAAATGCCCCAACATAGTATTCAAATTTGTGAAATATTTGATGCGTGGGGGATTGATTTTATGGGACCTTCCCTAATGTCCAAAGGGAATAAATACAGCTTGGTGGCGGTTGATTACATGTCTAAATGGGCGGAGGCACAAGCATTACCAACTAATGATGCTCGGCTGGTGGTACAATTTCTAAAGAAGTTATTCTTAAGATTTGGAGTTCCTAAAGCTCTTACTAGTCTCTAAGTCCACAACCAAACAAGAAACAGGAAATAAAGTGAGTTATCAGTCCTAAATCCTTTAAATCTTATTTATCTAATCATATCTGTATAGACATGATTTTGATAATGTATAAGTTTAAAAGAGTTTGATAAAGAATCTAGCATATATATGAGTTTGATAAAAGGGTTTTGAAATAGCTTGTTTGATAATACAGTTTTGAAGTATAAGAAATTTATCTATTTGATAGTTATTAATCACATATGATTGATATAATAACTATAATGTTTCAACTTGTATCCCCCCCCCCCCCCCATAAAAGCATTCAAAATCATTTAAAGGTTAGTTAGGAGTATGAACTCACCTGCAGTGAGTGGTTTGACTGAAAGATTGATTGTAGGATGCTACGTGTCAAGTGAAGTTTTGAGCACAACGGATCCTAATAAGCATATAATGACACATATATGTATATAATTAGTGTATAAACAGCTAATCATGCAAGGAAACCACTTTAGGGACTAGGAAACACTTATATTGAAGTGTTAGGAGTACTAATGATCGCATAAAATGGGTTTACGGACACACTAGTAAGTGTACGACCATGTGGTGTACGACCACAGGTGTGTTCGGCTAGTGTTTGCGGCCAAAGAGGTGATTTTGGCCAATGAGTGTACGGTCATGGAGTTTACGGCTGTACACTCAGTGAAAAGCTTGCAAACGAGGTGATCTAAGGCCCTAACAAGCATTACCTAAGTGTTCTTGGTCCTAGGTTTGGACTTAGATGAGTTTGAAGGCCAAAACATGAACCAAATCAGGTGTTTATCAAGCCTAACTAGAATATGGAAGAAATACTTACACTTTGGAGGCTTTGAGGGGGTTCATGACCCAAGAACAAGTAGGTGTTCTTGGTGAAAGTGATGAATACTTGAAGATCTACCCAAAAACATGATTTTTATGGATGAAATTAATGGGTGATACAAGATTAAGAAGGATAACAACAATTAAAATGGAAGGAATTCTTACATTTTGGAAGATCAAGGTGAAAGCTTGATGATAGTTGAAGGAGAGTTGACTTTTCTTGACTTGGAAGTGTAAAGAATGACTAGAAATGAAGGCATAACTCATATATGGGTATGAGTTACGGCCAATGAGGTGTTTACGGCCGTAAACTCTAGTTTACGGTCGTAAACTCCTTATGGTGGAGTTTCCGGCTTGTTTGCTACATATCGAACTCTATATGATACAACCTAACACTTTAACCTTGAAGGTACTAGGCTTATAACACTGAAACATACCTTAAACATGGCTAAAAGATAGCCAACAAGAAGTCTGACTTTGATTGAATTGAATAGATATACAAGATAGAAATTTTGGGTTGTCACAAAAACTGTATGACTGAATCAGAGGTTTCTAACTATGATATCAAACAATCTGAATTTGATAGATAAGAATCAGCTTATTATCATACCTATATATATATATATATATATATATATATATATATATATATATATATATATATATATATATATATATATATATATATATATATATATATATATATATATATATATATATATATATATATATCAAACAACCTTAAGAATAAACGGATATCCTTCTAATAACTAAGATATATTATTAGAAACAAAGTTTGACTTTAAGATTGTTTTTAAAACCAAATGCCTCATATATTTAGTGCTAGAAGCCACGAGGCCCTTATGTAGATATAGTATTCCCAATCCAGGGCCACGCAAACGCGTACGTCAGGTTTTACGACGCGCGTTTTGTTTATGCCGATCGATAAATTTTATAATATTAAAAATATGCGTTTACATTTTCTGGGCTTTATTTATTTATTTATTTTTATTTTAATAAAAGTCATCTTTTGACCTATATTCGACAGCCACGATGTTGAAGGGCATTTCTGTAATTTTGATGAGGGATTGAAAGGGATATGCCCCTATCCCCTATATAAAGAGCTTTCGGTGCTACGCAATCTTCATTAATACTTGAAGCTATAAACACGTATTTGAAAGCTACACGAATTCCAATTAGGTTTTCTTGAGAGACAAATTTGGGGGAAAAATGGCGTCAGAAGGAGTTGTTATCGGCTGCCACACCGTCGACCAATGGAAGGAGCAGCTTGACAAGCACGCCGGCTCTGCCAAATTGGTAACCTCAACTTCCTTGTTATGTTCATCCACTTTAGAATTTGTTTTTGTTTTACGATACGAGTTTACTCGTTATGCATTCGATTCTGTGGATTTGCTTCAATTCGAGGCTTTATCCTTTTGAGTATGTTCATTACTCAGTAGCTCTGAATGCACAGATCGTTGATTGATTCATACGAGTAACTAATGAAAGGTTTTCCCCATTTAATCGTGACATACCTTTGTTGGATTGACTCATGTGTAATTGCTTTATTACAATTTCCCCGACAATTTTAGTTAATTATACAAAATCTAGAGACAGAGACACCAACTAAGGTGCTAAAGTTATATCGGGTTAGGGTTTCTTTTGTTGCTTATCTTGAATTGATTTAGACTTCGAATTTCTAAAGTATATGTCCCTTTGAGAAGACGTAACAGAGAGAATTGCTATATCAATCTATCATATTAGGCATGTGTCATGACTGCAATCTAATACAAAAAGAGAACATTTTAGTCATTTAGCAAAACTGAACTTAAACATTTGAATGAAAATCTTGACAGGTGGTTGTGGATTTCACAGCCTCATGGTGTGGTCCATGCCGTGTGATTGCACCAGTCTTGGCTGAGCTTGCTAAAAAGATTCCCCATGTTACCTTCCTTAAGGTTGATGTTGATGAACTTGAGGTAAATTTCTTTCTATCATCTTCATATTCAGATTGTTTTAGGGTTATTTTGGGTATTTAAAAGTAAGGAATTTGTGCTTCTTGGTGTTACAGAGCATTGCTCAGGAGTACTCAGTGGAGGCAATGCCTACATTCTTGTTCCTCAAGAATGGAGAGATAGTGGACAAGGTTGTGGGTGCTAAGAAAGATGAACTTAGTGCATGTGTTGCTAAACATGCAGGAGAGGCTACTGTTTCTGCTTAATGTATTCTAAATATGAAAGATTGTGAGCGACTTTTTATGTAACCTTGTTTATGACTTGTGGTTTATCTTTATGCATAAATTGAAGTTGCTGTGATGTGAAGAAAATGGCTTTTTTATGGTTGGTGTTTGGGTTTTTTTACTTGTTTTAAGTTAGCCCCTTAAATTTTAGTTGATGCTTATAGTTGATGTTTAAGACAATACTTTTGGTTATGTGAACAATGCCTTAAGTAACTTGTTAGTTGTAAAACATATATATTAACTGTAACACTTCATGTCTATTATATGATATTATGGCAATTCAGAAGTTTGGTCCAACAAACAATATAAATGGAGACTTGTGCAAAACATAAACTAATCACATGTGATTGAAATTGAAATGCTAGACATTTTATTGGTACGTGTATAAGGCCAAAGTACTTGCAACATAACAATAAAACATCAAAAGTGTTAGTTAGTTTATCATCATGTCTACACCGTTTTAGGGTACTCATCATAGTACATGACTAATTTTTGTTTAAATTGTAATTTTTCAATAAATTAAATGATAAATGAAACAAATGAAAACATTAGTTATGAAGTTATAATAATAAAAAACGTTACATTGATTTAAATAAAAGGAAAACTAGATGATAGACTAAATAAAATTAAGCCGACATTGGAAAAAACCATATGTCTTTGTATTTATTGCGGGTTCGTTTTTCATTGAATAAATGTATGTGGGTCCTGCCTTTGAGGATGTTCGGCATCATTTTCAAAATTTGCGTATCTTTCAAATTTTGTATGTCCTATTGGCTTCCTCCATTATCTCTACTTTTCATTCTCGAAGTTGAATGTAATGGTCAAAAGTTTTCCTAAAAAAGCCATTTTGTTTGGATTCAATTTTTTTTAAACGGTCCTCATCCAGGCATGGCTCACATCGTCTTTCCCTTCCAATCGGTTGTCGTGGAAGTTCTTCCACCTCAATTCCATGTGCTTCATCATTGAGGTCGATTGTGTTTAGTTCGTTTGATTGGTGGGTGCTATTCACTTCAGAAAATTTCAATCGCTTGTTTGAACATTAGGTTGCATTAGAACTTCCAGATTAAGTATCCATTTCGATGCTTTATTAAACTCATGCCAAGCATTTATATACGGAAAAAGTTGTACGTATTTTGGGCGGCATTGTTCGAGCTGTAACGAGGACTACGAAGTTACTACTCCCACTTTTATGTTGGTGTTTGAGGGTGTTGTGAATTATGTAGAACTCAAATATTGACGGGATGCAGTATCTAGTGAGAATAGATTGTTTCAATTTAGGTCTCGATTTAGTCATGGAGTATTTGGACTTCGTTCATGGTGGGAGACTAAGGTGCTGTTTGATTTTCTGAAGCAAAAATTCATGAAGTCTGCGGACCATCTCTGCAAACCTCTGCAGTAGAAGAGGTGGACCAAACGGCTGCAGACTATAATAAGAAGCGTGTTTGTTTTTTTAACATCTGCATACTGCTGCAAATATTAAAAAATTAAAATAAACTAATTTTATAAACCGAAAATAGTTTTTTAATACGTAAAATTTAATAATGTATAACATTTCGGTAAAAATTAATGATATATCAGTAAAAAAGAATGATATTTCAACAAAAAATAAAGATATTTTAGTAAAAAAATAATGATATTTCATCAAGAGATTATCATTATTGAATATAAAAAAATGAAAAATAAATTCAATAAGAATAAACGAAAAAAAAAACGGAAAAAAATGTGAAATAAAATTTTAATAACATATAATCAAAATTTCAGCAATAAAAAAAGAAGAATAAGAGGTTGGAAGAGGTTAGAAGAGGCAGTACAAGTGCTGCGCCAAACAGAGCCTGCGCAGAGGTTTTTGATTCAAAAGACTTCTAAAAAACAAACAGCTGCGAGATGAAAAGTGATGCGCGTGTGCTGTGCCGCGCAGCAGTAAGAGGTTTGAAGAGGTTTTTTCCAAAAAACAAACACCACTTAAGACAATAGAATTGGAATGTATTCTAGTGTTTGTAGTAGAGAAACAAAAGAGAGTTGTGAAGAAATATGAGTGCAATGGTTATTATTTATAAAAAAAAATGCATAAATATTTAAAAGAAAATTTGAATTCCTGCCCTTCAATGGTCACAAAGACCAAATCTCTCTCTCTCTCTCTCTCTCTCTCTCTCTCTCTCTCTCTCGTCATTCCCAACTCCATGCCATCCCATACGTTGTCCTCTCATGTGACCGTCGAGATGGTGTGCACGACATGAGATTGTCATCATGTTGGTGGTGTGGTGAGTACTTTCAATGGCCTAAGTGCATATATAGTGTCTAAAACCTTCTCTTACAGTTATCCACAAGTCTCTTTTTAAAGCTAAAGTTAAAAGCAACTTTTAGCAAACTAATGAGCGTTTGGTTCGTAAAATGTTTTTGGAAGGAACTGAATCTATCATAGGAATTAAATTAAGGAGGAATTGGAATCTTTTATGTTTTTGGTTGACATGGAATGTAATATGTTTTTTGTTTGATTTGTGGATTGGTCAAAAGAATTGGAAAGTAAATTTTGTAATATGATTAAAATACCCTTATTCTTTCTTGTAATGTATTGTTATTTTTACTAAAAATGATAAAACATTCATTCATTAAACTCTTACCTGCTCAAACCTATATAAGATTGTTTATGTGAACATGGTCATGCATATGGGCGTGTGTGTGTATGTATGTGCATATGGAGACCTGAATCAAGATGGTATGTTCCCACATTATGGGTGTAGGTGTAGACATATGTGTTGGTGTGGGATAGGATGGATGTTGTGTAGGTATGGATAGGGGTAGGGTTGGGGTGGGTAAGGGTGGGGGTTTCTCTTCACTTCATAGTTCATGATAATTGTAAAAGGGTTGTAAATGATAGATTTATATGGATAGTGGTTGGAAATGACAAATTTATATGGATAGGTGTAGACCTTGTCTTATGATAGTGGTTGGAACTAACAAATTTATATGGATAGGAGCACATACACTATAAAATCTAATTGGTAAAAGGGTTTCTCTTCACTTCATGAAAATGATTGTGAGGAAACACTTTAACTAAAAAGATTTTAGAAGATTAGAGTTAGCAGTTGTGATAATTGTGTTCTCGAATTCAAATATGATTACGACATCCCTCTTCATAGTTCGAATTGTGTGGTAATTGGTTTGAACATTCGGGACTTATTACTATATGTCTTTGAAAGGTTCAAACACACACTTTAGTTATTTAATCTGAAAGGTGTATGAGCTTGAGAAGTCTAGGCAAAGACTTATCAACGCACTATGTATCAGATATATGAACTTTGGTATAAAAATCAATAAGTATTGATTTCAAGAAGTCCAACTGATTTCTGGGTACATGTTAAAGCTAGTGGGAGCATAAATGTTATACTGGTAAGGATATACTTATCATGTTAGTGGGAGCATGATTATTATGGTAAATGTTACGAGTTATCAATGCTAATTATAGAAAACAAAAGTTTCAATTTGCAAAGTTACAGAGTTTGAAAAGTTGTTTTACTATAATTAAGGGAAAGAAGCTCTTACTTTATTTCAAATCTAAAAGTTTAGATTGAAATACTAATTAAACTTAGTCATGAATATATATGAAGGTAATATTGAAATGTTTCAACATTGGAAATTATGCATATGGAAATATTATAGCCATATGGCAATTATGGAAATGTTTCCATAATGGGAGTTGGATATTAAGAATCTTTGTGTGAGTTAGAAACTTTAATGCAAGAAGGATGTTCAAGGAATGCTCTTTGAATGTGAGACCTCATTTCCATGGAATTGTCTTATAACAATCTCTAATGGAATGTTTTGTAATGTAATTGGCAAAGTCTTTCTGACTTTGGTGACTTGACATTACAAAAGGATCATTGCATGATAGTTTAGAATCATTCTAATAGTTGCAATAATTTTGTATTCTTACACTTGTGATAAGGATAATGGAATTGTGAAATGAGCATCATTTGAAATGTGTTCAATTGATCTATTTCACAAAGGAAAGACGATAGATAACATAGTGTGCATGCTTGGAGCATGGGATGAATGTTGTTTTAATCCAAGTATTAAGTTGATTAATCAAAACAATATACAGTGAATAATGTGTAATCAATATGGTGATTAAATAATAATTGTTTTATTTATACTCAAAGGTTTTGAGACCTTATTTGATTGTTCTATTCTTGCGTTTCACTTTGCATGTTTTACTTCCCGAATAACTAGGTTATTCAAACATCCATAGTCAATCATACTTTGGAAGTAAGTAATGAGTTAAGGCTGTCATGGATCTGATTGTAGGTTTTCTAAGTGTTTAGACATAGCACAAGTTTGTTATAGTGTTCATAAGTACTCTTGAAATATGATTTTGAGTATTGGATTAAACCCACGCTTATCTGAATCACTTCATGGATTTTATCACGAGTGATTGTGAGACAATAATATCTTATATTCTTGAAACGGAGAGATATGAGTTGTTCTTTACAAGTCGCTGCACATTCATAATACGTAAACGCATCAATAACTTGATGTTATAAAACGTATTGTTGTGTGTGATTTGATGAGTAAATATTACAAGCATATGAGTCAAAGTTTATCCGTTCCTTTTAACCTAAGAGGGATAAAAGCAATATCGATGGGCCCCTCGATGATTTAGTGATGATACCTGAAGCGTTTGTCCAAGCATGGACTAAGTTGATGTGTTTAATTATTGTTGTGTGTGATTTGATGAGTAAATATTACTTTGATGAGTAAATATTACAAGCATATGAGTCAAAGTTTATCCGTTCCTTTTAACCTAAGAGGGATAAAAGCAATATCGATGGGCCCCTCGATGATTTAGTGATGATACCTGAAGCGTTTGTCCAAGCATGGACTAAGTTGATGTGTTCAATTATAGTCAGTTGTCATAAATCGGAAATCGAGAAACAACACATGGACAGAGAGAATGATTATAATACATGTCTCGTGTCCCTACGATATCTTGTAGAATGGAGGAATATTTGATCCCTTATCTAAAGGATGTATTGCTGATAAGATCAGAGTTCGACAAAGGCTTTAGAGAGCTACGATTTCTAATTGGATTTTGAAGTTACATTGACAGTTATAGTTATCAGGCTAATCCAAGTGGGATACTGTTGGATTAGGTGTCTAAGCCCATAACTAGAATTGGTATGTACTTGACCCGATAGTAGCATGGTCCATTTTGGGTTACATTCACTAGAACAATTTGATAGGATGAATATTCGAGAAAGAGGTTATTTGTGATTTATTAATATATTATAAGTAT